GCTTCACCAAGGCCGAGTACAAGGGGAGAATGACATCCCGGGATCTGCTTGAGAAGTGCCTATGGATGCAAGCCAGCATTTTGCTCATTTCACTAGCCACAGCATCACAGTGCAGGCTCATGTTCATCTTATGGTCAATGATGGTCCCCAAGTCTCTTTCTTCCATAGTGCTAGCCAGCGTAGCACTGCCAAGCCTATAAGTATGCTGCAGGCTTTTCCTCCCAAGGTGGAGAACCTTGCATTTTTCAGTGTTAAACACCATCAGGTTCTCATCCGCCCATTTTCCGAGCCTGTCCAGGTCAGCCTAGATCACCCTCCTGTCATCTGGTGTGGATGCTTTGCCCCAGACTTTGGTGTCATCGGCAAATTTGGCCAGTCCGCTTCTGACTCCAATGTCCACATCATTAATGAAGATGTTGAACAATATGGGTCCAAGGACAGAGCCTTGGGGGACCCCACTGGTCACAGGACACCATGATGAGTGACTGCCATCAATTACTACCCTCTGGGTCCGACCACGGAGCCAATTTTCCAACCAGTGGATCGTGGTGGACCCAAGGCCACAATTGGCCAGTTTTGCCAAGAGGTGATCATGGGATACCAGATCGAAGGCTTTTTTGAAGTCAAGATATATGACATCAATCTCTTTTCCCTTGTCCAGGTGATAGGTCACCTGGTCATAGAAGGAAATGAGATTGGTCAAGCAAGACCTACCCGCAACAAACCCGTGCTGGCTATCCCTCAGGATGTTGGCGTCGGCCAGTCCATTAAGGATGGCCTCTTTAATAAACTTTTCTAAGATCTTCCCCGGGATAGAAGTCAGGCTGATGGGCCTATAGTTAGCCGGATCCACTTTCCTCCCTTTCTTGAAGATAGGCACCACATTGGCCTTCTTCCAGTCTTTGGGCACTACACCAGAGCACCACAAGTTCTCAAAGATCCGTGCCAGGGTCTGGGCTATGATGCTCACCAGATCCTTGAGTACCCTGGGATGTAGATTGTCAGGGCCAGCTGACTTGAAGGTATCCAGCCTCTGAAGGTGCTCCTTCACGAGGTCAGCATTGATGGAGGGCAAGGGATCTCCCTCACCTGGACCTCCCTGTCCTGTAGTGGGCATGGGTGTCCCATGGGACTGGCGAAAGACTGACACAAAGTACCCATTTAATAGGGTATGATACAGCAGCTCCCATTTGACAGGGTTTTTTCCTCCCCCCTGATGTTTAGCTTCTTTCTACAGAACACTAATAAGCAGCGGTGTAACTAGGGGAGGGTGACTGGGGCATCCACTCCACCACCGAATTGTAGGGGAAGGGAGAAATGGCTACTACAGGCAGCATTACTACACTACTGGTAATTAGCCACTTGCTGAGGAATCAAAGGCAAAAGAGCATGTGACAAGATAGGGCCATGCACAGAGCTATGTAGACAGCAAGTGTATGACTACATAAGATAGCCTCTTAATGAAGGCACAACAGATAATGTCTCTAACTCCCACACCTAAGGAAAGTTCTATATTCTTTGGGACCAGGGTAACTCTCACTTTTCCTCTTCATAGTTTTAGTCTCATGTCGGTCTCAGGTACATGCATAGTCAAGTCCAGGGTTAACAGTTATCTCATTTGGTGGGAAATTCTGATTTTGAGATACCAGGTTCTAGACAAATTACTCACTGGTGAGGTAAATGCCCACCTGGTGTTGGATGACTAAACATTCCTGCTAATGGTTAGTCATCCCAGTGGAGGCCAGGGGCCCCCTAAGCTTCACATGAAAGTCTCCTTCTTTACCGTGATTATATATCCACATCTTTATATTACTTTATATTGCACCTGATTTGCTTTTAGAGAACATTTTCCTGGTATGATTCATGACAGAGAAAAATGAACTGCAGTAGGCTTGATCATTGGAAGCAAAATCAGGAGCTTGTTGCTTAATTTTTCTTGTCCCAGCTAACTGGGCAGTACTTTTCTTAGCTGTTCTCCACAACCGAGAACCTGAAGTTTAGTTTGGTTTTGTTTGTAAATGAAACCTAAGTGTCTTGTAACAACACAATTTCAGGTGCTGGAGCTTTTAAAGAAAGCTTTCTGTATATTTCACTCCACAAAAGTACCTTTGTATCAGATCCATTCATTTCTTATCTGCCATAGTTTACCAGTGCCTGCTGACTGTGGCACAATATCAGGTCCTCTGCTAGAAATTAGAGAAGGTTATTTTTATCCTGTTAAGATGTGGTTTTAAAAATCTCAGAATATGAGACGACCGATAATAACCCCAGACAAGTCTCTGGTCAGATCTAGTTGCTAAGTGGGTTCCTTTAATCACTAATGTGATTCCTGAATTCTGCTGGGGTTCTTGTCAGCTATAAAAGACGACTTATACTACTGTATTGAATGCCTTTCAGGATTCAACGTATCCTAATGATTCATAGTTTTTAAAGGACCAAAAAGACCACTGTGGTTATCTAGTCCGACCTTCCAGTTAATGCAGGCCATAGGACTTGTCCTGGATTAATTCATGTAAGAATTAACATATATCTTTTGGAAAATGATTCAACATTGATTTAAAAGTTACAGCTATGAGAAAGCCATCACTCCCCTTCCAATATTACTTGCCCAAATGGCTAAAAAAGGCTATATCTCATTTCTTATCTAGATCTGTCCAGCTTCATCTCCCAGTCACTGAATCTGTCTCTCCTAGATTAGTAAGATCTCTATTACAAATTTCTGTTCCCATGTATATATAAACTATGGCTAAGGCACTCTGTACCCTTGATTAAGCAAAATTAATTGAGGTCTTCAAATCTCACTGTACACCATGGTTTCCAACCCCAAAATCATTCTTGTAGCTTTTCTCTGAATCCTCTCCATTAATCAATATCCTTCTTGAATTTCAGACCAGAATGGAATATAGTATTCCAACAGAAGTGATACCAGTGCCAAAAATAAGCAGTCTACCTTCGCTACTCCTAAAATGGACTTGATAATATGTTTGAT